GATGGCCTTGAGATATCAATGTGGAAAAGGAGAAAAAAGTAGTGGAAGTTCAAATTTGAGGTAAAACAAAAAAGAGATATCAATGTGGAAAAGGGAAAAAGAAGTCAAACGTGGGACTGACCGGGCCTACCTGTAGTAGGCAATTCATTCATATACTCCCATCTGATATGGAACTCATTTTTTTTCCAGCAGTTGATTGGTGTACCAACTGAGCTAAGACAAGACTCTTTGGATGATACGAGGGTTTTCTCAAATGCGCCTATTGTCGTCCTATGATTAACCATATGGGAAGTCCTATGTGAGTACGCCCTTTATTTACCGTGGGCGATGTCCCACGAGCAGAGAGGATTGGATTGGATTTAGCGCCCGAATGTGGACGTGTTTGTGGAGAGGTGCAGAAAGTCGTGATTGATCTGCTTTTTTGCATGTCTGCGTAAAAGACGTCCAGATCCAGGAGTTTAACCCAATCCTCTTTGCTAGTGGGACCTCKCCCGAGAAAGGTGAACCTGAGAGAGAGTCCGTCTTGTCTTCTTGAGCACGCTTCGCTTATCACAACCATGGCTCCAATATCCCCATCGATGTTGATCATGCCACCTCAACCGTGAGGGGGTCCGGCCCCCTACATGAAGGCTACTACCCTCTTCCCCCCCCCACCCCCCCCCCAAAAAAAAAAAACAAAAAAAAAAACAGACGTACCCTGATCATGAATGCATACTACCTACTTTTCTGGTCGGATACGGCCATGATGACGGTGTGTTGTACTCGGGGCGACTCTATTCCAGGCCAATCCTCAGATCCAGTGCCATGTAAATTTGTTATGGGGCCAAGTCCCACTAGCAGCGTTGGCTTCCTTCAACGCCCGAATGAGGACGTGTTTGTGGAGAGGTGCAGGACCTCGCGTTGAGTTTCCTCATGCCACATTTTTTTTTGTCTTTTTCRCCTTTCSACAGGCTGTGTGTGGCGAGGCCCCTAGACTCTGGGCCTCGCTCCACTGCTGCTCTCGTCTCGACGACATGCATCGACAGACATGCATATAAAAGAAAAAGAACAAACAAAAAAAATCTGCACGAGGTATCTTTCCATGTTCTTGCGGACGATTCACTCTGAGGGGGCTCTTTGTCTGTCCCTAGTACTACAAAAATCTTGGCGAGGTATCTTTCCATGTTCTTGCGGAAGATTCACTCTCGTTCTGCACCCCCCCCTTTTTACCCAAACGAGAAACGCGGAAGCCGACCAAGCTGGTTGCCTCAACGACCTTCCCAACCCAACACCGGTCGTTGAGCCTCTGAGCTCTGGGACGACCGAAAGGCCTACCGGTCGTTTTAACGTTCCCGACCACACCCTTCCAGCACCCCTGTTCACGCTCTGTAGACCCTGGTTGACGGTCGTCGACTTTTCCGAAAGGAGAAGTTTTCGCTAAACGACAAAAGGCGACCGGGGTAAAGCGCAGCCTATGGCTGCGAACTGGCAGTTTTCCCGGTATAGATGCAAGTTGGCTCTCATACTGGGGGGTACAAATGCAATTTTTCCTACAAAAAAGGGAAAACTGTGTGAGGGTTGCGCCCGCGCTGTGCGCACCACGCACAAGGCGCTACCACGACGCAACTTTCTTCATTCTTCATTCCAATCGGAATACAGAGATTGGAGATCAGCTAAGGCTGCGGTATAGTTCGCAGCCCATCACGGGTGCGTTTTATGCCCCTAAGAACATTTTTCTTCGTCCTTCGTTATACGTTGGAAGGCTGGAAAAACAAGGCATGGCAGTTTAGGGGGTGGTGGCATCTTATTTGAAACTGCAGGACCGGTAGTTGCCCATGTACCGCACGGGTTTGGTCCAGGACCGCGTAGGACCGGTAGCTGCGCATAGGAGGCCGAGGAGGCCGCAGTTCGCAGCTCGTCAGGGTTGCGTTTTCCCCCCCTGAGACATTTCAACGTCAATCAAATTTCAACGTCGGTGGTCGTGGGGAGGGTGGGCATTTGAGGTTTTGGGGCCTTGC